GTTTTGGTAACTGTGTCACCTTTGTCATTTAGTTCAAAGAATCTTTTGATTTCCATCTCAATTTCCTCGTTTATGAAGTGATCATTCAGCAGGTTGTTTAGTTTCCATGACTTTGTGTAGAAATGAGAACTCCTGTTAGGATCAATTTCTACACTTATTCCATTGTGGTCTGAAAAGATACGTGGTATAATTTCTAGTTTTTTAAATTGTTTGAGATGTGCTTTGTGTCCTAGGATATGATCAATCTTAGAGAATGACCCATGAGCTGATGAGAAGAATATATATTCAGTGGTTTTGGGGGGTAGATGTTTGTAATGGTCAGTCAGGGCACATTTGTTTCGGAGTTCTGTTTAAGTCCATGGTATTCTTGTTGATTTCCCTGTGTTGGAGGAGTCTCCTCTGTGCTGTCACCGCGGAAGATAAAAGGCGTCAGCAGGAGTCATAAAGTCTCCAGGCATATGGTTTGGTGGGGTGTTATCTATTTGGTTCTGATCTGTAGAGTTTGATTTTGAATCTGTGGTCCACCAAGGTTGGGGGTGGTCGCGTATAGTAGTATTTAGATTTATTTCTTCTGTTGAAACTGTACCTCACATGCGCTATATGTGACTTCTTTTCTCTTTAGCTTTTGGTTGATTTAAAAACTAAGTTATGCTGTAATCAGCAGGCGCCATACCAGCTTTCTTGCTTCCTTTGCCTGGAAATATTGTTCTCCACCCCTTTACCTGTTGACTATATGCGCTTGCAGGTATATGTGTTTCCTGAAGGCAGCAGATATTGCTTTTTTTTTTTTTTGGTTCCATTCGGCCAGCCTATGTCTCTTTGAGTGGCGAGTTAACATTCACATTTATTGAGTTTAACTGATAGGTGGTGCAGATTTCTGTTCATTATGTTGGTTTGCAACTTTGTTGCTTTGTTTCTCTCTTGAGCCATTTGGATCTGGGCTTTGAGTCTTTAGCTTTGAGTAGGGTTTATTTCGCTGTTTATTGTGCTAAATTCCGTGGGGTAACACGTGTTTTGAGTACTTCTTGAAGTGGTGGTCTTGTCTGATGAATTCCCCAGTCTTTGCTTATCTGAGAATTCTTGATTTCTCCTTCATATCAAAAACTTAGTTTTGCAGGGAATAAGATTAGCGTAGGCTGCTCTGTTCGGAAGGTGAGAACGGGGCCCCCCAGTCTCATCCTTGCTTGTAAGTCTCAGATAGAGAAGATCTGGTGTTATTTGAATTTGCTTTCCTTGTATGTTA